GTGGTATTAAGTGGCTTATTTTAACCTATGCTGCAGTGGAAACAGCTCAGCATGTTTTTCATATACGCTTCCGGGCAGTGAAGCATCAGCATCGAACACATGTCATGCTGTCGACAATGATGATAATGTTTATGGGTGAGGAAATCGAGGCGTAGCTTAAAAGAGGTATTTTGTGCACCGCTTGTGAGAAGTGTTCAGTGAAATTCTCACGAATTAAAGTTTCATGATTCCGGTGCACTTGCAGCTTAAACGAGTTTTCGGGTTATATTTAGTGGGCGCATTCAAGTCTTATGTAGTCCACACGACTATAACACTTGTTAAGATCCTGTCCCACATGTACTCGCTTTTCAACCTCATATAGTTCAGCATTGGTTGGAGGCTTGTGGTTTTGATGCCAGTCTGTTACATATTTGAAGATATTTTGCGACCTGAAGTTGTCGAAATTGAACTTATACTCTAACTGAAGCCTTTGTTTATCTGAGACTGCTAGTTGTTTTGAGCTGAAATGACGGGCTGATAGGAGGGTAAGCTTTTGAAAGCAGTCTCACAAGCCACTTAACTGAAAGCTTGTTTATAACAGAGAAAACGCTGACAACTCACCAGGCTTCATATGTATACCAGCAGTCTTTATTTACTAGTTTATCCACTTAAAATCTCATTTGCTTTCGCCACCTCGTATTTTTTATTTTGAAGCAAATATGTAATTTCATTTTTCAGTACGCAATCTTCATGGTTGGCACTACCTTCTCTCATAATGCTGCTTCGCTTTCAATTGATTTTGTTTCACCTCGCGAGGGAACCGTATACTGAATAGTAGTAGATTTTAGTCTCCTATCCATTTAAACCATGCTATGCAAAAAATTTGATAGCCGAGGTTTAAATTATAAGCAACTTACTATGGATGGTTGATGCATCACATGCTCAATCAAGTCGAACAGCGGGCTAAAACGGATAAAAACTGTGTGCACGTGGGTTAGTAAATACTCTTTCAAGATAACTGATTTCATCTATCATAAGCGTTAAGTTGGGTGGGACAACAGCAATGCAACAGATGAGTGCCGACAAGAGGTTTACAAGAGGTTGTTCTGCTCAACCACATGAGGCTTTTTTCCTTGTTGGACCTTACCAACATGGCTTTGAGAAAACGAACATATAGTCCCTGGAATAAGGCCAGCAAGCCATATTCTGCCATATGGTGTACAAATGGAGCAGGTAAGACAGATAAAAATATGGTAATCAGACAAGAAGGACGTTCCGAACTTTATGTATTTTGCCTTATTTGGGCAGGCGTGTGGCCACTGTCGACTGTTGAGGAGAAACACCCATCATTATGGGTAACCACTGATGCTTTATCCTTTAAATGAGACAATTTAATATGTTGTAAGGAGCAAACATGAGTAAGTGACTCATACTTTAAGCCTAATTTTGTTTGCACCAATGGAGCGGGACAGTTATGACGAGGCCGAGTAAACACCAACTGGCAGATGGTAACCGTACATGATGCAGCACCTCGTTTACAACTTATCACAGTCCATCTAATTCAAATTTATCAAATTTATATTTATCATTCTCTCCGTGCCATTCACTCTGCTTCATCTGAGTTTTCATTTTTTGATGAAAAACGCACACCCATCAATGGAGAGCAAATGGGTTGAAAGCTTTTCGGTTTATGCCTGTTCAGACATACTTACGCGTTGGGTGACCAATAACATCCCTAAACGTGGGGCTAATATTTCCTTTTCACGGGTAGCTCAGTGAGTGCTCAGCGTTAGGCTGAACTGAGGTCAAAGGACGGTTTCTGAGCAGATAAAGAGCGATTTCGGAAGCTTGCTTAGTCAACGCTTAACATACTACGGGGTGCTACAACAAGCTATGTGGCCTCAGCTGCAAACAAAACAGCCAGACATGTGCTCTTCTAATTTGGTGATAGGGTTGAGCATTTCTATTAGATATTGTCACGACACCATGATAGTAATATCCGACCTTTCCACAGAATAAGGCTGCAAGTAGATTCCGAATCTGAGTAGAGCGATGTTGACTCATGTCTAGTTTATTTCCGACCAAAAGAATGTAAATTGTAAATGATTGCGTCACTAATACCTGGTTAGTTTGAGCTTGGTTGCAAACGGCCACAGTGTTTCCTGGTTGCTGAATATTAAGCTACTGCATTGTACATAATTTGCCAGGTAGGGTAGTAACTATATAGGTTTTTTCATCCATGGCTTTAAATGTTCCCTTCAAAAGACTTTTCCTCAAGTATTGGCTTTGCTGACCGAAGATAGAATGTAGCATTTGGGAAATGAGCGAGCTTCAGTGTGAACGAGACAGAAAACGATGTGATTTATTGATCGTCCTTGTAGCGAGAATTTCTCTCGTAAATGTACTGGCACGGCTTGATCAAATTTCCAGCCAGCATGTAAAATTGCTGTCTTTAAAAACACATCGAAGACAGAAGCTGCCACAAGAAAAAGATGCAATTGTGCCTAGTTTTCATGTTTAAGCATGATTCCAGTACAGTTAATGGATGGAGCTTGGATTATCCCCTGAAATGATTAACTATTTGAATACCTTTGTTCTGAAAGGTTGTGTTATGCTCTACTTTTTTGTTTGATGGGATAGAAAATTATTTCTATGGTTCCTTCCTTGGGACCGACGTTCTTAGATTCGCCACGTTATTCAAATACTTTTCTTTGTTTACTTTGGTCCTGTGACATGTTTTTTGGTAGTAAGTTTCACTCAGGTTGATTTAGCCGTCAGATTCGATCTACAAGGTTTCTTTTGCAAGTCTTTGTGCTAGTTTTGTACATCATTTTAAACTTTACAGGTATACTATACTCTTTTCTGGTTAGTACTTGAGAAACAGGAGTAATTCAAATATTTCGTCGGTCGTGTTTTCTGTGGAGTGCTATGCTTGATAAAACTCCTAGTGTTTATTTGCTTTTTATCTAACTAGTATGTGAACGTAGTCGACTTCCTATAAATAGTCATGGAAAAAATGAGGAAATATTCATCACACCGTTTGTCTTCATGTACTCCTGCAGAAGGTCTTTCCCTTTCTATTTTAGTTGTCCTTTGGTGCATATCTTGCGTTGAATTTGTTCTTGTTCTTCAAATTAGACCCGATTTTCTTCCAGATGTCGCTAGCTTAATCCGCAGAACTGCAATGGATTTGTAGGCCACAATTATACCCTTCTGTTGTAAGAGCCTTGTAGTGTTTTTGTAAACGTTTTTCAGTATAAAAATGTGATTTCTTTGCTCACATTTTGTAATGAGTTAGGGGAAAGTGAAGTTACTATGATATTCTTTTTCTTTGGAAAGCTTCATAGGAATGATTATCTCATTCACTGGTGCGCTTTTAATGTACCGTGTTAAAAGCTTAAATTGCTAGTGAGAAGCTGACTTCTGCGGTACGTATATACTGTTTTATACTTATTTGACAGCCTTCTAAAGAAAACATCCATTGGTATGTTCCTCCACTGTGAACGCAATATCGTCAAAAGCCTTGCGTCTTAGTAAGATTGCTGACTGCAGTTCACTCTTTTACATGCTGGCAGGACCACCATAAACTCAGTGGGTCCACGGTTTTGGATATAAAACTGTCAGTGGAACTCGTTCTAGCCTTTAAATCCCGATTCCTGCGATAAAGTCCAAACTAATGATTATCATTCTTTTGTCTTTTATTCTTTTTAATCCTTAAAACATGTGGTTGAACAGAAACCAAGGAATTCACACGGGTCCTCTGAACAGCGGCATAGTCTACCTAACATAAGCTCCTCAAACAAATTATCGAATGCAGGAATACGGACCACAAGGCAACCGTCATTGCAAACGGACCGAAGAAAGTGTAACAAGGCTACTTAATCTGCCAGTCAAGTCAATGAGTCATATAAACAAAATTAGGATTCATCCACCTAATCTGGGAATAATAATATCTGCTTAGTGGATGACTAGCCGTTTGAAAGCTTAATCCAGTTTAGAGAGCAAATTACCTCCCAATAATTCATCCGAACTAAAAATATGTTAATATTCTATTATGCGGACCAGATCAATTTGATTAATCAACAGGGCTAGTCAGAGTAGCAGAAAATAAAATAAGACCACCAAATGCTTATAAATAATCACCTGCGTGTAACCATTTTGACTGTGTGCTTTCCGGAGAAAGAGTGCTTTCAGTGAGCTAATCGTTAGATATTCACCTTGACAAGGGAAGAAATTTGTGCTGATTGTTTCGGGTCATAAATCCAAATAATAGGAAATGGTTAGAACTCACCCTAGCTTTGCTAACTTTCCTGGAAGTTAATGATAACTTCCAGAGGATCGTGTATGGAAGAAACTAAAAACCTTATTACACAATAATAATATTAATTTAATATATTGCATTTTTTATAATATTGAACATTAGTATGCGGTGTTAGACATCCAAGAACACAAAATGCTTCTTCTTTTGGAGTGAACCAGATGAAGTAAGTGCTGTATCAGTGACGTCATGGCAGTCGTAGTTCTGCGCTGGATCGTTAAAGATGGATGCAATGAGACCCTCAGTGTAATATCACGGAAAGAGTCTGCGTGCACACACCAAGATGGGAGTTTGGCCACTGTTTGGCCTTTGGATTTCGTGACATCTGAATAACCGCAAGGTGAACAATCGAGAAGTGCCTGGGTAGCGTTTGCTTGCGCCCTGGGAAAAGAAGCACCAAAATTGTACTTCATTATCAGTGGAAGTACCACAAATACTGCAGGTGACCACGAATTCGAGCAAACTGGAGGAATGAGAAGAAATTAACTAGTTGCGGTCAACTGCTAATGACAAACTGCTTGAAGAACCGGTGGCCTGGCCAGGTTTTCTCTAAGGAAGAATGGGAACCATCTCTCAGTCATCACTTGGCATCTCGAAAATACTCGGAGGGTAGGTTATGAAGGATCAAATTGGCGGAAACGCGTGAAAGTAGACTAAGCGATTCCAAGGAAATTCAGACGTACATATTCTAAATAGCATTTTAATGGATTCACAGGATTCCCGGTTTTATCCTAACCAGCAGGACAATTTGGGTACATCAGCGTGGGTCAACCACAGGTCACAGGCGATCAACTCGAACACATTTCTTGCGCACTCGCGCTGTGCAGCACTGTTGAGTGACGTAGACAGTTTCAACTAGTCCGTTCTCCAACAGCTTCTGGCCTTTGACTAATGGCACCTCACCATGATCTCACTATAGAGCTGGGTTTGCGTAATTTGATAGCTCTAATGTAAACATCGTCATGTCGGAATTTTCCTCGCTTTATTGCGCAGAAAACAAGTGGATGCGAATCTTCATATTTATTCTGAATGTTGGGTGGCTAATGTCATTAGTCGTTTCAGTCTTTTGTGATACACGAAACCTTCGTTTAGTTTTACCTGGTTATTACACTCAACGATCCATTTTGTTAGCAAGCCTAAAACGTGGCGGATGGGCCAGCCGGAGCAAACAGTCCGGGAGCAATTAACCACAGTCGATCACACACTACACTTTGCTCAGTTACTTATGAGCGGGCTAGATAGGGCTTCTCTGCGAAAGGATCTGCAATTTGTTGTTCAAAAATCGTTCAACCGTGACACCCTTTCGGTGTCTAGCTGCCATGCCACCCAAAGGAGGCATGAGGGCTGTGATACTGCAAGGTTGCCCAAGCCTAGCCAGGGGAAGTCGAGAAACGGAAGTCGATTACGAAGTACGGACCTTCTGGTCAGTAAATTTGCGCTCTAACCACTGCACGATCTTGCTCACTATATTTTACTGGAGATTGGAAAACGCGATCGCTAAGATGCTTAATGAAGATGGCTCGTCTCTTCCCCACAACCAATTTGCCTGCTGTTTTGCGGTGATCCAAACTCAAGTAAAAGTGTTACACGTAGAAAGCGTAAGGTAGACTATTTCAAAGCGATAGACTTGGATGCATGTGGACACAAGTTGATGAACAGTAGAATTACCGTCATCTAGAAATTGACTCAGATTTCTAAATGTGCATAGCAGCCTCCCGTGGTTTGTTTGTCTTTCATTGTATTCAGTGTAGAGTGAAAATATACAAGCTGACTTCCACGATAACGACAGGCCTTCATTGCCTACTATTGCGGCTTGATAAGTTAAAATAATGTGGATTATATGAAAGCTGCTGACTGGTTCATTGAACTGTACTGAAGTTAGTGAGATTTGAACCCCGTGGTTGTAGGAAACCACAAAACGCGATCGGTATGTCTCTGAAGCCTCCGTTTTTTCATAGAGTTGGACTATCTTGATTAACCATCCTTACCACCTGTCTTATGGTACATTTTCAGGTCATATGCACCAGGATGGGTGCATACGCGGTTGGATTTGACATTGGAAGCCGGAATTCTTTTGTATCTACTCTGAGTCGATATGGGGTGCATATGGTTTCCAACGAATTCGGCCGGCGAAAGATCCCGTAAGTATATTTGCATGCCACTGAGGAATAAATATTTTAAAGCACATGTCTAGCCTTCACTAATCAAGGCAGACTGGCCGGTACTTTGGCAAAAATGCAACCAGCTAGTGAAGCTAAAAATGTATTGCGAAATTTCACAACGCTTTTGGGGAAACCTCATGGTCTTGTGCAGACAAGCGCTCTTTCAGTACCCTACGATCTCGAAACCACACCCTCTGGCAGAGTTGGAGTCAAGGTTTGTCTCGTTAAGTCACCAACGCAAACCAGTTATGACTCGATTTTCAGGTTACATTTGCTAACAAAATTTGGAAGTTTGTTCCCGAGCAGCTGCTAGCTATGCAACTCATGGTGCTGAAAAGAATGACGGAGCGCTATACAGGAATAGAGCTTCAAAACGTGGTTCTCAGCATCCCAGTGTACTATACCGAAAGCCAACAACAAGCAGTACGAGATGCACTATCGATTGCTGGATTAAAATGTGAGAAGTTACTGCCAGACACAACAGCAAGTACTACCCATTCAAAGACCCCTTACAGGTCACCATTTAGTTGCCCTAACCTATGCCTACTACGCCAGAAACGAAATTGCCAGGAGCACTTCACCAGTCTACGTGGCATTTGTCAGTGTGGGTTACAGCAACACACAAGTTAGCATTTGTGCATTCCAAAAACATTCCCTGGAAATTTTGAGCACAGCCTACGACCCCGAGTTGGGAGGAAGACATTTTGACTGCGCTATGTACGAAGTTCTCACCAACCAATCCAAAAATCAACATGTGAGTTAGGTACATTGTTTTTCGCTCCAACCAACAAACGCTCAGGTCTCCAATAATACAGCAGCCGTTCGGGAGTTAATGATCGCCTGTGAGTCCGTTGTGAAGCGCATGAACATGGGTGCTGAAACTGTCACTGTGACAGCAGATTCGCTGTCCAATGAATACAACTTTTGTGGCCAAATAAAACGCGAAAAATTTGAGGTGAGTATGCTGGTTTGGTGCGTTCATCATGGTTCATTGATAAAAGTCGACATGTTGTCGGTTAATGGAGAGATTTGAATCGGTGATCAAAAAATGCTTGCAACAATGCACTCAAGTGCAACCGGAATCCATATGCTCTGTGGAAATGGTCGGTGGATGCAGCCGTATGCCAGCTTTACGTGCGATTGTTGCTAAAATTTTCAATACCCCACCTTGCACGACTCTGGATGTTGATGAAGCGGTTGCCAAAGGATGCGCTATACAGGTAGGTATTTCACCGATTGATGTTGTAGATTTGTAAATGCTTGTGAGCACGAAATTTTTTAAAGCCGTCCTTTAGTTTGGAAATCTTAAGGGAATGTTGTGGTAGGTAGCTTAATTGAATCGCTTGGTTGTTGGTCTGTTTGTCAAGCTTGGCACATGGATTGTAAACGTTTTATCATCAATCGAGGGGACATCGTCAGTATGGGGTTGTGTGGGGTCTTTATAGAAATGGACAAGCGTATTTAGCTGCGGGACCTGTGTGAATATCTACGACTGATAGAAATGTGCTTATTACGACAGATCACTTAAACAATGGAATCAGAACCTCCATAAATCTGCCCAGGCTTGAGAGCAGATGAATGTTTTAAAGAACTACGCCGAACTTTTATCCTTAAAACGAAAACGCAACCTCCAGACATATCTGGAGTCAGGTAGACAGTAACATGAAATTTGAGATTCCGTCAGAGTACAACCTTGTTCTGCTCATCCACAGCGTGGAACATACAGTTAGAAACATCTACTTGTCTTGCAATAATGTCTCCAATATTTCCACTGAGGTCGACAACCAAGCTGTAGGCTGGAATTTCAATACATGCTATTCTGTGACGTAACCATAATTGTGTATGCGTCATATCTAGCTGGGCCCTTTGACACGACGCTAATCTCCCTTTAAGTAGTTTTCGTCCATATAGTAAAATGAACACCAAGATTATGCTTTTGACAAGGTCGACTTTTGATCAGAAGAGCCCAGAACAATTTATGAGAAAGGATTGAGGCTAGGCGCCGCTTTGTTCAGTCCACGGTTTTGTGCTGTTTGCTGAAGACGAGATAGAATATCTTCCTCATTTTCAATCTCTGCGGATTTAGCAATGATGCCATTAGTTTTTGCATAAGCTCAACGCCATCATTTTGTAAAGGGAGTGGTCCGTTTTAGTTAGATCCAGCAGATACACAATCAGTTTTGGAGCTAGCAGTCTTTTTTGATATATCTTCCTGAAGAAATTCAAAATGGATTTCTGCTTCTGACTAGTTCAGTATTCTCAATAGCCGTGGTTTACCAATCTATTAGATTTTTCAACGAAACATGTGAATTCCCATGGAAAATGCTGCATTCTGACAACCTTCGTAATTTCTAGGCAGCCATGTGCTCGCCGCTTTTTCGGTATCCCTTCAAAATAGTTGAATCAGGTGTGAGGAAGACTCCGGAGCACATGAGTATCAACCCACTGACACAGAAACAGTTGGATGAATTTCGGTCGGTCGAGGTAAGTTTCACTTTGATCCAGATGAATGTACTTTAGAAATGAATACATACCCACAAGAGGTAAAGCAATAATTTGACAAAGGTTTCCAATAAACGTCATACCTGGATTACCGATATTCACTTGTCTTAAATTGTCTAACAGTACTGGTGAAAAGAAGAAGGCTTTTGCTGCGGAGTTATTTATAAGAAAATGCCAACTGAACAGTTACAAACTATTGGACAGGGAAGCTAAACTCTCACATACATCTTATTTAAAACCACTGAATCTCCATCTTCTCTTTGAACGCGCCTTCCTGGATATTCCTTGACTGATGCTCCAGTGCAAGCAGATGCTTCAAAGCAACTCCACAAATTCCGTAATATATCTCACTTTTTAAAAGATGCACAGCGGATTTATGAGAAAATATACTACTCACATGCCCCAGCCAGTAGCATCACCGTTACACTGACATTCCAACATGAATCCGCCAGAAAGTCTCTTCTTTTTGTCAGCAATTAGTTCACTTTCGATCCATTCTGTCAAATCTGATTAGAAGACCTAAAGAAAATAAGCGCACTTAAACTTGATTCAGTAGCCAGTGCTTGAAGTACTGGCCTTGGTAGCTCCCAAACATAATCAACTACTGGTTTTTAGTTCTATGAAAAGGGTTTTGTCGAGGTAGCTGAAATCCCTGGGACACACTATGCAGAAGCCACCAATATGAATGCAGGATTTCCCATTTGCAAATTACCTTTAGACCCGAGTGAATTTCCGATATTCATCAACTGAAGGCACGAAATTCGTGATATGTCGGTATAGCTTTTTTGATATGCCAAACAGCTAATTTACCACAATCAACTCACAGTCGGAACAGCCTGCAGTTCTTAGGACGTAGTCTGAGCAACCAGGTTTTGTAGCAGCTAGTCTGTGGATGCACGCGGAAGGCAAATGTTTTCTTCTCACAGAATAAATTAACCAATTTAAATGGTGCGAACTCTGTTTACAACCATTCCACGGTGGACCTAAAAATGTCAGGCCGAAACCAGCGTCCCAAAACAAATTGTGTGAGAATAGCTGAAGGGATGATTTTAAGTCAAAGGAGTTGGTTTTACATTAGGCTGCAAAAACTCCACAAGTGCTTGCATTTCAAGGTGATTTTACCTCAAGACTATGCAGATGAGGTCCCATGGCATTGTTGATTAAAGAATCCGCTTGTCATCCTTGGACCGAGCTAAGTATGTTTAAACTACATTTCTTCCCAGTGGGATCAGTAGTATCAAAGCTACCGAAGCAAATAATCACTATAATGCTTAGCAGCTGCAGTAAATCTAAGCTGAACGTCAAATTATGCGCTGAGTTAAATTGAATTTAAATTAAATTAAATTTAGACAAACGTTAAAATAGAACAAAAGGCATAACCTATTGCTTAAGTTTTCATCTTGAGCTTTCCTGAAAAGACAATTAGTATCTGGGAGATACGTGGGTTGTCATTTGTTAGAACTGTGGAGCGCTGTTACAGAATATATCCTTTCATGGTCCGATCTCGGGGACCATGCGGAGGTGCGCTTAGTTAGGAGGTATCTTCTCTTGCTTGTGACACAGAGGTACGTTATCGTCTGTATCAAATCAACTTGGAAACTTACATTTGCGTTTGTCCGAGAGGACACATGTTTCCTAGCGCTTTTAACGGAAAAGTCTGAATGACACAAGGGAAAATTTATTTGGAAGTATTACTGGTCGCGGGAGTCCACGACTACATTAGTCGGAAATTCGGTGTTCACCAAACTGATTCGCGGCCAGCGTGCAGGATGAAAATTTGCACTAAGCACGTATTCAGTCTTAGTAGATGCAAATTAGAAGGAAATGGTCCCATGTAAGACACAGCTGGTCTTGAAATTTAACAACTGAATGTTGAACAAACACTGAGGCTTAGACCAATATCCGCCAGAAGAAGAAAACAGCTTTTCGAAAATGTAAGCATTATTTCCGTGGTTCTGAAAATTGTTTACTCTTAATCACTCCGTACCTCAAAACTTATTTCTCTCAGAAGACTTTACCAGAAGTCTTTACCAGAAGTCAGTCTGTACTCAGAAGTCTTTACCACGTATCGCTTCCCGAATTGTAAGTGAAACGACAAGTGGCATAAAAGTTGGTTGTATTTAACGAAAAACCCAAAATTAGCCAACAAAATTTGTGGAACTCACCCAGGAACTAACGTTTACTAGAATCCACAAACTACCCAGAACATGATCAACAAACTTGTGAACAAGAGAAGTATCACCACTATTCTATATCAACTAAAGTCAACGCTGGCTTTTCATTTCCTTGTTTCTTCACACACTGATGATAGCAAATTTTGATAAAAGCGCACTTATTAGTATGCAGATAAACGAATTAAAAACTGATATCTGTCGTTTTCAAACGGCTGAGGGTTTTGGGGCGAAATAGGTGAACCCGTATTCCAACCCACATTGGCCGTCAACATCGAACATGCTCATTAGCATGTATCTCAATACGACAATTAAAAATCTGTATTGAACTACCCTCCCTATGAGGATGCTATATTCTTTGTCTATTGGGCTTATGGGAGGAACTGGACATATAGTATGGTAAGTTATTGAGGGTTCTCCGCAGAGATAATCAGGAAGAATTTCGTGGCAGATTGTTCGCACTTACTTTCGAGATTAGTATCGCAGTTCTGGATTCGTTTGGAATGCATGTTCCCTTTTTCAGCGCCAAATAACCTGCCTGTTCCAAATGGCGTTTAACAGAAACTTGTACTGTGAATATGGGGTCTCCAAACCAAAATGCTTGTGACTTCATATTCTTTTTCCTTACGCTTTTGGCCTTGGTAGTCCATCATCTGTACTGATCCAACTTTTTTGCGTCTATCTGTGATAAAATATGCTGTTTGAGGCAACCGTAGTGAATGGATGATTGTGCTTAGTTAAAAAAGTATTCTCCGTGACAAATTTGCTAGTGTGACGCTAAAGCTTCGAAAGTCACTGCCTCGTCTAATGGTGACACGTGAAATCTGGATCTAAGAGCACTTAAAGTAGTCTTGACTGGGCGGCTTCACACCGCCGCACTAAGTCAGGTTTCACAGAAACATCAGTCCACATATCAGTTAAGATCCTCGAACTGATTGACTTCAAGTGTGCATTCGATTCAATCGATCGATCAGTCCTTCTAACCACTCTAGATGCTGTACATGGAATGCTATTGAATTTCACGCAAAATTCACTTCTAACGCTCACACGTTTCTGGACGTAAGAGAATTTTTACCCTCTCCATTCTCTTTCTAATTAAGCATCGGTAGAATAAGGAAAAATTTGGGTTCCTTGAAATTCTGTTGTTCAAGCTATTGTTGTTGAAAAGCTTTATGATATTCCGCACGCAAATGCTACTAAGTTAAATAACAATCACCGGTAAGGGTCTTGAAACGGAAAAGTGATGTCTTTAACTTTTTTCGCAGCTTGAAGGGATGTAAAGGAGGACGTGAAGGATGGACGTATCTGCTGTAAATTATGTCAGTACACGGTCTTTAAGGGCCTGACTGACGTTCACTAATTTGTGTTCATTGTGATGTCGAAGAAAATTAGTCCCAGGGACCACCTCGTCCGATTCCCGGACTTGGCCTCAGTGAGAGCCCTCTGGATTCTGGTGATTAAGACCTGATGAACGCTTATGGCACTGAATGGCATCTTTTGGCGGTACAAGCGTCACTAATCGGGGATCCTCTAAATGGAGATAACTTGCGAAATGCACAGCTTGTGATTTAGGAGGACATTGTGAAAAAGACCACAATGGGTTCCGGTGTCATTGGTTTTGTTCGCCTTCTAGGATGAGAGAAAAGCTCTCTTCCTAGAGCCTAGAGCCATTGTAAAATAGGAATGCGAACCAAAGTCATAGGCGTTCCTGCTTTCAGTTTCTGTCCACAGTAACTGTGTGAGCATCTGCCGGAGCAAGCTCACCAAAACGATTACGGAAGGCATGATTCAGGACATTTCTCTTTTCGGTTTTTATTACGATATCTTACTTTAAAAGAGTTATAAATATACGCATTTGCAAATCAATTTAGTTTTCGCGGGAGATTCAACTGAATCTTCCGTTGCTGACATTCTTAAATGTGCTGCACAGGAGTTGCCTGACGTTTCAGTTGGCACAATATTTAAGATGTTGCGGTATATTTTCACAAAGGAAAATATTCACAAAGTTGCGGAAAACCACTCGACAGCCCGCGAGATATTCGGTTGAGTATCCAGTGAAAACCAAATCAATTTGCAAATGAGTGCATTTGTTAAAGTGTTTTTAGGTTGGGTTCAATTAGAACTTAAGTTTGACGGAAACCCGGGGACTGCGTCTACCTGATGAGCTCGAAGAATGGCGAAACCGGTAGTGGGCTGTCGAAGAGTTATTCAGTAACCTTGTGAGTAGTTTCCTTTATGATATAAATATGCCAATTCCAATATCAGAAGCCCATCCATGTTTCATTGTGCCTGAGAAACAAGATGGTTTTTGAGCGAACAAACCTTCTAGGTCTCAAATTATATATATCTGTCTTAATGGGATTTAACAGCTTAGAAATTAGCCTGGATAATTGGACAAGCTATTTACTTAAACTTGGCATATTTTGGTTACCATCCTGGCGAAAGCAAACTAGATGACAGGGTTTGTCGGAACTATGTGGCGAATCTAGAAAACAAAATGAAGCAATGCATGTCAACATATAGTCCATAAAAGCTTTTGCGAGTAAGGTTAAAAAGAATCAAAGAAAGTATCTTCACCTATGTGTTTTATTCGGATTTAACAAGACACCGATAACACTAGGCCTTCACGGTGATCTAAGTGGCATAAGTTGATCTAAATTTAATTGCCAAAAGGCTTCATCTTCATTAGCGGTCCGGAGCTTACAAATCACCCCAACTTAGTAGTTGAACACTTCGTCATTTAGCCACACGTGCCAAGCTAGCAGTGTACTGGATAAAGTACTAGCCGTCTTTAGTCAACCAGTCACGTCACGTTATTCAGTGTTGACTGGCACCTCGATTGGGGTAGCGCCGACGCGACTGAAGAGTTGTCACTGGAGGGGCTAATCAATACAGCAGCACGTGATACATGTTAGGGGTTAGAGAAACGAGGCATTATATTCTCCGTAGGTGTAAGTGTTAATTAGCAGCTAGCCCAGCTCAAATCACCCTAAGATTTAATGAAGCAGGCACTTTTATGATTCCAGGCAACTATAAATGATATATACAGCGGATGCTGGCTTTTCGGCCTAGGTTACATAAATTGTCTAAAGAAAAATCTGTTCAAACTGCGTGATTT